AGCGGCCCGGCCCCAGCCACACCGCTGGTGAGTGCTAGGGGGTGGTTCCCCCGTCCCACAAGCCAGCCCTCCCCTCCCCCCCGCAGAGGCCTGGGACTAGTCCCCCACCCCCAGAGGCCTGGGGCCCCACACAGCCCCTCATGGGGGGACTGCATAGGGCCCCAGAATAGCTAGGGACGGCCCTGCTGCAGTACATTTTTGAAAACCTTTGTCCAAGTAGTTTGTTTTGAGGAGGGATTTGATTGAAGAGAAGTGTGAATGTTTGGCACTTATTAAGGGGGAGAATGATCAGACATGCCAGCGATGAGCACAGAACATACACCTAAATACAAGAGATCCAAGTATACAGGTGGCAGATCAAGGTAAGAGTGATAGAAAGATACTGAGCCCCAAATCCTTGTGGAAGTCAATGGGGTGTGTGGGAGTGCAGCAACACATCTGCACAGAGCCTCATTGACTTCTACATGGGTCACTCAGGTTGGAAGTTGGGGTAAAATACAAAGCGAGCCAGCCTTGCATCTCCAAATTGCTGCATTCCTGTCCTCTGGCTGGCTGCAGAGATAGCGGTTAGCCTCTCCTGCTGAGGGCGAGCAACGAAACAAGATCCGGTGAAATTTCATCCGGAACATCACAGCAATCACTGCAGTCACACGTGGGGGCAGGAGCTGGGAGAACCCTGCTCACATCTGTCATGGCCCTAACCATGAAGGGGGAAGCCAACGCTCCATTTAAAGCTCCAGTTTTGACCCATTCACCTCCTCGGTGCCCTGGCTGAATGCCAACACACATTCTCCCCACTTTATACCCGGAGCAAAAATAATACAAGTAATACTTTGGACTTAAATGGCACCTCCTAAGGAAGGCGCTCAAAGAACTTTTAACGAAGGTGCGAAGCATTATTACACCTATCCTCTCTTTAGAGAGGAGACTCAGGCAGCTATTTTCAGGGTATGTCTTCACTGTAGAGTTAAGTCCAGGCATTGTCCCAACCAAGCCACCATTCACATACAAAAACCTCTGAAATTAGTGGTACTTTCAACCTGAGCTAGCTGGCCCATCCTGCCCTATAGGATTTCGCTTGGGCTGGTAACTCACCCACTTTGCCGTGAGGATGTGGCTGAACTATCTGCGTGCTGACAGTCCTGCAGTGCTTTTCCATAACTCCCCTCGTGTGCCCAGCAGGACAGACACATTCACTGGGAAAGAATCAGAGTGGCTCAGCTTACTACAGCACGGGGAACCATGGGATGTGCCCTCAAGTCCTAGCACAGGAGTGCAATCAGTGAAGAGACAGTAACTCAGGCAGGGCTTTGCAGCGTGTCTGCTTATACCCAAACTAGGCTAGCCCCGGTGACTCAGACCCTGGTGTCAATCACGCAAGTTAACTCTGCAGCAAGCAGTGGCTTGCCCAATGTCAAACAGCAAGGGTGGATGAAGAAAAGCCAGATCTCCTGCCCCAAGTCCTGTCTAGCCAATAGACAGGCCTGGATCCCACAAATGGAAGTTGTATTGGAAGTTTGGAGATAGGCTTAGTAATCTTCCATCTTTTGCAAATAGGATATTTTAATAAAAAGCTTCTACAGAAGGAAACGTAAACCCTTGGTAAAACTTGGATATATCTTTGCAGAAGTCTTGCAAAGTTCCACTCACCACAGGAGAACAAATCCAACTTAAGTCTGGAAATACATTCAACATCAGCACCATATCTATTGAACTTTTTGGAAAGCACAACTGTAATCACCATGATCTTGATCACCATCAGGGATGAAACCCAGGACCTAAGCTAAGAACATGAGCCTCTATACAGCCTGAGGTTAAAGTCTTAAATCCCCTGGCTAGTGGTTGTAGTAGACGAGCGTCCTCTGTGGATAAGCTTCACAGAAGGAGAGCGGTAACACACGCTCAACAGTACACAATACCAGCTTGTTTGTGTTATGATGAGTATGCTGAAATTGAGGGGGGGAATTCCTTTTAAAAAATAAACCAGATAAATATGATGCTGACCAAAGGGGAGCTCTGGGAAGGATGAGGCAAACTACTCATTCAGAAAGTGTTGAAATCCTGGGTCCATCATGCAGAAGGTGAGATAACACTGTAACATGAACCTGGTAATTTCAGCCCTTTGTAGATAATTGACCAGATAAATCCTGCCCCAGCTATCCTGTTAACACCATTATGTGCTTTTCAGCTGCGACATGTTACCAAAGCAGCACCATGCCATAAGCTAATAGTGACTTGGAGCAGTCATCAAAAGGCAGGCATGAGACATGTCTGCCCCTTCACTGACAATCCATGCAGGGTCCATGCACCCAGACGTTTTGGACAGGCGGTCTGCATTCTGTACTCCGGAGAGAGAAGCCTGAGCTAGGGCTGGCAGATCCCAGATTAGAACTTTCCCAGAGTGTGTCAGTTTGGATGCGATGCTCTGGTTCATACACCATGGAGACAGACCTAAGCTGCAGAGTTCAGAGCAGGAATTGCATCCAAACTTCCACACAGTTCAGATTCAAGGGGATTTTCAGATCAGTGCCCTGGTCTGCACAGCTAAATTGGGCTCCAGAACCAACATTTCCGCCAAGCACAAGGATGTTGTGGTCCTGGACCCTCCCTAGCCTTCACAAAGAAGATAAAACCAAACCGTACCCACTTTGCTGCTCATCCCAGATGTCTGAAATGCCCAACTACTAATGCCAAGATATCAAAATCCCGCTTCTGGAGTTTGCTCATGCTGAGAGGAGCTTATCTGTGGAAAGTGCACAGGGCTGGGCTAACAACTGTGGGGAAGTGTTTCCCTCTCCCTCTCAATCATAAGACGTAAATGGGAGCAGGATTATATTTCAGATAGATGACAAAATAGCTGTCTCTGTTTAGTAATCAAAATCTCCCAAGGGCTATGATCAGAGTTCAAGGAAGGGGAAGCACATGGGTGGCAGGTACCATAGGCTGGGGGAGGCTGTGCCTCCCCAAACAGCCAGGCGTGGCCCTGCCCATCCTCCACCCCAATCCCCACACACACACTTCCTGCTCTGTGGTGTGATTCCAGAACCCCTCGGTGGTAGCCCCGGCTTGGGCCATGCCGCCCACCCTCCAAGTGCTCAGGGGTTGGGGGGGGGGGCTAGCCTGGGACAGGGACCAGTGGCTGCAGTGGGGGGGCCTCTAGTCTGGGCTCCGGTGGGGGCATGGAAGGGGCGGGGCCTCGGGTGGAAGGGGCGGGGCTGGGGCTAGCCTCCCCAAGCCAGCGGTTCATGAACCGCCCATGGGGAAGCACATCTCCCCTTCCCTGCTAAGGGCATAGAGAGTATGTGCCCCTCCCTCTGCAGCGCAACTAGGTGAACTCAGCTCCACCCACATCCCTCCGCCTTGGCTGATTAAGGGAGAGCTCATCAGGCAGGGGGATCTGAAGTGTGGTTAGCAAAAGGAACTGGAGACGGACTGGGCAGCTCTGGGGCTCCCAGCTTTGCAAACTGTAGATGCTGCAGCAGCATCTGATGGGAGAAGATCCCCTACTGGGAATCCTACAACCACCTCCTCTAAAGGAATAGCTCTCCCCCACCCTTTGCTTCCACACAGATAAATAAATGCATAAAACATTAAAACATTGCATAAAATCCCTCTTCTGAAATGTCTTTAAATCTTCTAAAGGGCAGGAAATTGCATCAGGCATTTCAACATCTGGGGGTAAAAATCCCCAGAACTTCTATTTTTGCTCCTAGGTTCTCCACCCTGATCAAGTCTAAACGGCATTGTTTATATATGCTGCACACCCGTATATGTTGCCCGCACTGAGCCTACTGATTAGGGACACAAGTTTCTTTTGGACACCATTCTCCTCCTGTTCATCTAAATGCTCAGACACTACAGTGATAGCAGTGTTATAGAAACCATAAAGGGTCCCCAGGCCCTTCCCCTTCCTGTATCCTATCATCACTAACATAGAATCTTGTGACAACAGCCACCAAACTGCCGAAAACTGCCACTCCTATTTCAATCTACTTTACCCACGGATTGGGGAAAAGTTACACAATGATTTTCAATGCAGAAATTCACACTATCAGAAACGTGGGACATTTTGCCAACCAGCATTCAGTTTGCTACATGTTTCTGGAGGGCTAATTCAATGGGAACAGCCAACGTTACTAATAAAAGTTGTCCTCAGTTCGAGGAGGGGCCTCGCACATATTCCAAGGGGGAAAAAAGTTCTCTTCAAGCAGTTCCACTGAAACGGTGTCCACTGTTTGCAGAGAAATTTGCAAACTGACTTTGGTTTAAAATGATTATAGTCTGGTGATGAAGATCCTCCAGATTCTAAAATACTGGTGTTTTTTTTACATGCCACCACCCAGCTAATCAAGAAGTGTACAGAAACGCCACCAAAAACTGTTAATCCATTATAGTGTGACTCATAATACAACGTGTAAATCCCTCGTCACACTGTAGCAGCACCTAATGAAACCCTGGCCCCAGAACTGTGGATTCTTCTTGCTCACATCATGACGCAATTACGCAGAAAAAGAAGCCAACCAAAAGGAAACCATGCTGGATACTGGAGAACCAGAAAACTGCAAAATGCAAAGGGTGGCCACTGGAAAGTGTGAGACGCAAGAACCAACTTCAAAGGAGATTTGGCAAGCCAGGGACTTGTCTACACTCAAACTGTACCAGTATAACCTCCTCTCTCCCCCTTCAAACACAGACCCCCCCCCCACCACCCCAGCTAGTATAGGTGCAATTACACCAGTATAGCTTATTCCTGTATAGGATGGGGAATAAACTATGCGGTATATGGCGTCTGGGCTGTACCAATATAACTAAAATAAAATAAAATAAAATCACACCCTAACCAACATAAAAGGGAAGTTGCAAAATGTCCCTTTCAGAATTCTTTATTTGGACATTCCCCAAATTAGCAGTGGACAAAGACAAACATCCTGCCATAAGAAAATCAGGGGTTAAGAACATTTTCACCTTTGCTGAATTCTTTCAGGAGCAAAATCTCTCACCTGATGGAAAGCTGATCCAGGGTCAGTGTACCTGGCTGACTGTGAAACAGCCCAGGAAGGAATCCAACACAGTAGCTCAGCAACTTTCATTTTCTTTTGTTTCTCTTTGGCTGAAATCTTTTGCAGAAAGACTCTGAAATGCATAAACCTGGAGACAGAAACAAAATTATGAAGAGACCACACAAAGCAATAAATTACACAGTTTAAAGTGAAGCTGATCTTCTTTATTTGTAGGATTTTCTAAGGCTAGACTTATGACCAAAAACTTTTGCTGGGACAGCAATGTTGGTGAGGGGTGAGAGTTTTTGCAGAAGTCCTAATGTACATGTGGTTATACTGACATAAAAGTGTTTTTAATGGTGTAGCTTATTTAGTGCAGGAAACCGGTATAGACTACACCAGAAAAAGCACTTTTTTGCCAGTACAAGCTGTCTCTACACTACATGGGTTTGCTTGTACAGATACACTGGAACCCCTTTCAAATGCAGATCTGACCCAAGTGACTGTTAAACTCACAAGCCTGATTCTTGTCTCACTCACACCAATTTTACACTGGTGCAACCCTTCTGACTTCAGTGGAGTATGCCTGAATTACAATGGTGTAAGTAAGAGAAGTTTTAACTAGGGCTGTCAAGCGATTAAAAAAATTAACCACAATTAATCGTGCTGCTAAACAATAATAGAATACTATTTATATACATTGTTTTGGATATTTTCCACATTTTCAAATATATTGATTTCAATTACAACACAGAATACAAGGTGTACAGTGCTTGCTTTATATTTATTTTTTATTACAATTATTTGTACTTTAAAAAAAATCAAATAGTATTTTTCAATTCACTTAATACAAGTATTGTACTGTAACCTCTATTATGAAAGTTGAACTTACAAATGTAGAATTAGGTACAAAAATAAAACTTGCATTCAAAAAATAAAACAATGTAAAATTTTAGAACCTGCAAGTCCACTCAGTGCTACTTCTTGTTCAGACAATCGCTCAGACAAACAAGTTTGTTTACATTTGCAGGAGATAATACTGCTTGCTTCTTGTTTACAATTTCAGCCGAAAGCAAGAACAGACATTCGCATGGCACTGTTGTAGCTGGCGTTGCAAGATATTTACGAGCCAGATATGCTAAACATTCATATGTCACATTCCAGAGGACGTGTTCATGCTGATGATGGGGTCTGCTCAATAACTATGCAAAGCAGTGCAGACCAACACATGTTCATTTTCATCATCATGAGTCAGATGCCACCAGCAGAAGGTTGATTTTCTTTTTTGGTGGTTCGGGTTCTGTAGTTTCCGCATCAGAGTGTTGCTCTTTTAAGACTTCTGAAAGCATGCTCCACACCCGATCCCTCTCAGATTTTGGAAGGCACTTCAGATTCTTAAATCTTGGGTCGAGTGCTGTAGCTATCGTTAGAAAACTCACATTGGTACCCCTTTTGTGTTTTGTCAAATCTGCAGTGAAAGTGTTCTTAAAACGAACAACATGCTGGGTCATCATCCAAGACTGCTATAACATGAAATATATGGCAGAATACAGGTAAAACACAGAGCAGGAGACATACAATTCTCCCCCTAGGAATTCAGTCACAAATTTAATTAATGCATTATTTTTAACAAGTGTCATCAGTATGGAAGCATGTCCTCTGGAATGGTAGCTGAAGCACAAAGGGGCATACGAATGTTTAGCATATCTGGCACGTAAATACCTTGCAATGCCGGCTACAAAAGTGCCATGCAAACGTCTGTTCTCACTTTCAGTGACATTGTAATTAAGAAGCGGGCAGTGTTACCTCCCTTAACGGTAAACAAACTTGTTTCTCTTAGTGATTGGCTGAACAAGAAGTAGGACTTAGTGGACTTGTAGGCACTAAAGTTTTAGGGCAAGTCTATACTGGCAACGCTAAAACACTGCCGCAGCAGTGCTTTCACATGACTTGTGTGGTCGCGGCGCAGCGACCCAGCTCAAGGACGGGCACAGCTCCCAGCGCTGGGGCACTGTTTACACTAGTGCTTTACAGCGCTGCAACTTGCTGCGCTCAGGGGGGTGTTTTTTCCACATCCCTGAGCGAGAAAGTTGCAGCGCTGTTAATTGCCAGTGTAGACAAACCCTTACATTGTTTTGTTTTTGAGTGCAGTTATGTAACAAAAAATGAAGAAATAAATAAATCTACATTTGTAAATTGTGCTTTCACGATAAGGAGATTTCACTATGGTACCTGTATGAGGTGAATTGAAAAGACACAATTGCTTTGTTTTTTTTCATTTGCACAGTGCAAATATTTGTACTAAAAACAAGTGAACACTGTACCACTGTACACTTCATATTCTGTGTTGTAATTGAAATCAATGTATTTGAAAGTGTAGAAAAACATCCAAAAATATTTAAGAAATGTCAATTGGTCTTCTATTGTTTAACAATGTGATTAAAATTGTGATTAATCATGATGAACTTTTTTAATCATGATTTTTTTTTTTAGTTAATCGCGTGAGTTAACTGTGATTCAATCGACAGCTCTAGTTTTAACGTTTTAATCCACCAACCCGTGTACGAGAGTAAAGAGTCGGTCTGCTTTTGCATGGGAGGAGTGTAATGTGTGTACATCAAAATCAATAATACGATACACGTAGAGGGTCTGAGCACCCACAGCACCCATTACAATCACTGGACAGTGCATGTGCTCAGCACAGATTTAAGCCAGGCCTTTGTTTTCTTCTGAATGTCAAGCCAGTATTGGATGAGGCTGGAATCCCGTTTAGTCTCTGGTGCTAGGCGCCCATGCTGCTAGGATCTTGAGTGATATTGCTTTAAAAACAAACAAAAACAAAACAAACAAAAAAAGGCAATCTCCAGTATTGGCCTTGGAAATGGTTATTCCTAATTAGAGAGTCACGTGAACTGGGTATGGGGGGAAAAAAAACCTTCAGCATGAAAAATAAATTGGGCAATTTTCGCAGCAAGACTCAACACAGTTACCCCGAGAAGGAAAGCAGCCTTAGCAACAGGGGAAAGATGAATTAAAGCCACCTTTAAGTATTTGATTTTGGCTTGAGAACAAAGGTACATCTCAGGTTTTTAAACCACAATTTTCAAAGTTGTCTCTGAGGAGGGGTAATCACCAGGTTGATAGCTGACTCCAGAGCAGATGCTTGTACAGAACAGCACATTTACACTGAACTTGGACTGGCTTAGCAACATCCCTGTGACCTGTAGTGTGGGAAAGCCAGCTTTGGGAATGACCGCTGGTCTTCTGCTCTCACAGCCCAGCTACTGGACCTTAGGTGCATGGTCGATGTGACACCCTGGGACTTTAGCATGAAGGTTACACACAAACCTTCTCAATGATTCATACAATGACAATGACTTCTGCCTCAGAGGAGTCTGTACATCTTCTCTGTGGGTTTGAGGAAGAGTGCTCTAAGGCAGTGGTTCTCAACCTATTTACCATTGTGGGCCACATATGCAGCCCACAATGTGTTATGTGGTCCACAGCCGATACTAGCTGTATGGCTCTAAGGAGGTCACATGGGCCGCAGCTGTGTGCTGATTGGGCCTCAGGTTGAGAACCACTGGACAAAGGGCTTGTACACACCAACGCTTACTTGGGTAGAACTCAAATCACTCAGGGATGTGGAAAAGCCACTTCTTCCCCCCATCCCCCGCCCCCCTGGGTGATGTGAATTACACCGACCTACATGCTGGTGTGGACAGCGCTATGTCGGTGGGAGAAGCTCTCCTACCCACACAGTTGCCAACACTCGGCGAGGTAGAGTAATTATGCCAATGGGAGAACTCTCTCCCATCAGCACAGAGCTTCTGCATTAGCAGCGCTACAGCCGCACAGCTACGTCAGTACAGCTATGCTGAGGTAGCAATTGTAGTGTAGACGAGCCCTCAGCTCTCAGAAAAACAGACAGAGGAGGATTTACAGTGGATGAACTCTAGGCTCCCTCTGGGTTAAGAAGGATCCCTATTATGACAGCACACAGCTATCACCATTTCACAACACCCTTCTTCAGCTAAGGATGTCCAAGAACCATTAATGCTGACTAAGGGCTTGTCTACATGAGGATATTTACCATGGTAGTTACAGCACTATAACTCTCCATGTGGACACACTTATTGTAAATTACCTAAATTAAACTGGAAAATGACTTGCTCAAGGTCCTGGCTCCCACCCCTGTTCCTAAACCACAACTCTTTCTCAGACAGAGACAAATCAACCCCAGTCACCATTCCAGAATCATAGAATCATAGAATATCAGAGTTGGAAGGGACCTCAAGAGGTCATCTAGTCCAACCCCCTGCTCAAAGCAGGACCAATTCCCAGCTAAATCATCCCAGCCAGGGCTTTGTCCGTTCTTGACTTTTTTTGAGTAACATATTTACACAAAATGTGTGTAGGTACTCAGTACAGGAATGCAGGACTCTAGTTTCTTCCTTGTCTGCATATAACTTAGCCATACTGGCCTGCTAGAATGCAGGGGAGACGGGGTTTAGCGTGAATAAAGGACAGAAGTAACTTGTACAAGTAGTAGTGGGCCACATTCTCACCTACACTGAAGCCCCTTTACACCACTCAGACTTTCACTTTGATCTATATATATTACTTTGTTTAAAAAAAGTTGGTGAATGCTCTTTTACCTCCCATTTCTCCCTCAGCAACAAGCCTGCCTATTGACACACTGCCAGACTCATCCTTACCTTGACCCAGTGCCTGGTGAAACTTCTATTCACCCATTCAGCACCTCACGTTTGGATCACTGCGAAATTCCTCTCATTTACGGTCTCCTCAAAAACCTCCCACTTACATAAATATCAGCACCCCCACCCCATCCTACCTCTCACCAGCAACGTGAGCTTGGGGAAGAAAGTAACTGCTGGGAAAGGTCGCCAAGAGTCCAGCCCATAAGAGCAGCGACAAGCAGCTCCAGCAGTGACCGTCGGACACGGATAGGGGCATTCGTGCCCAATGGCTTTTTTCATGATATACCCTGGACATTCTCTCTCCTGTGCTGATTGGCTACTTGCACCAACTCCCACCCATCTCCTGACTCACACTATCTTAACTTCATCCTCACTCCATGCTCTCCCCTTCCCTGCCCCCCCCCAAACCCTCTGACCACTCCCTTGT